TATATATATATATAAATATATTTATAAAAAAAAAAGAAAAAAAAAAGAAGAAATTTAGTTACAACTCTTCACGCGAGAAACTTTCCAACGATTACCCTACCACCATCACATGTCCTGAGAATATATATGTATATTGCATAGATCATCGAAAATTGATTGAATTATTCCATACACATACACACATATATATATCCATCAAAATTAGAGGATTTTCTAATCAATGATTAATAATACTAATAACTTTCTTCTGTTCTGGCTTAATTTATCCTGCTTATGAAAAATGTATATGCAATTGATTGTATGTTAAATGTAATAAAAATGCTTTGAAGGAATATGTATTGTAAATGATCGGTGCACGTTAAAGCATTAAAAGTGTACTGTGTATACAGCATTATTGTATTAAGGAATTTTGATTTAATGCATACAGATGGTAGAGCATGGAAATTTGTTAAATTTCAAAGTAGTTCTATATATATATATGTATTTTTTTTTAGATTGCACTTTAGATATGCACATATATATATTATTGACGTTTGGAAACTAGTAAATGATTTTCGATGACCTTACACTGTACGTTTAGAGATTGGTTATAAAGTCAACATAAAAAAGAGAAAGTACACAAGACTACCAATGATAATCTACAATGATGCATTCATCATTCAACACCGCGGCTTACCTATTTCCTTGAGAGCTGTAAACAGATTTTTTAATTGATGATGCATACACAGTAAAGAAAAAGTACACACGCTCACATAAAATGAGATAGGGCAAAAAAGATCAAATTTCCCTGGCAATGCGCGGGATTGTACACTGTCACAAAATATATATATAAAATAACTGTCACTCTAGGGCACCATACGAAAAATAGAAAAAACAAACAATACACATGCAATTATAATTTTGTTGGTAAAAACAGAAAACAGGTGTGTCACAGGAAAGTGGTAGTGGTAAGGCAATAAGGTGTGATCCTATTATAGTGCTAAGAAGCACACGCTTATACATTCATATGTATTTTTTATATACACATATGCATGTAGAATAATAAGATATAAAACAAATACATAGTTTTACTTAATTAATATCATTCATCAAGCATTGTAATTTAAGTAAATAAACATCTTTTTTATCTTTTTCTTTTTCTTTTTTTTTTAGTTTTCTCTTATTCTTTAAATCAAATCGAAAAATAATAATAATGATATAATTTACAATAACAGATATATGCTCAGACGATAATAATAGTAAGAAAAAAGAAAATACATAAATAAATAATTTGAATAACAAGCTAATTACATTATCTGAGTACTTTCTCACTACAACCTTATTCGAATGGAAATATATATTTTAATTTAAAATATATTATATCAAAGTGACGTTAATTTTTCTTGTTTTTTATTTGCTGCAATATACTACAATTTTTGAAAGTTTTAATTTACTTAAAGTATCAAAAGCAATCAACCATACATTTTTTTTTGTTTTAATGCATTTACCGCAGAATAAATACTATCGGAATAATAGGATAAGGAAAAAAGTTGTGTGGTCGAGGAAATATATATATGTATATAAATATAACTTAGCATTAGAAATGTCGAATAAATATTTGTCTTTCACGCATAGGAAAGAGCCTATCATGCGTGTAAAGCCAAAGGTCTGTAGTGAGATAGTGAAAAATCCCCAAAAGCATGCGGGACGTTTCAATTAAATAATAAATATATCATGTCAAAAATTATTGGTATAAATTTGAGTATTATTTTGTCTGAAATAAATAAATGTTATATATAATATTTTAAAAACCTGTTAAAATTTCATAGAAATTATTTCTCCTATGTACTTTATCAAAGTTTAATATTACGATCTTTACTGTACGCATATGTAATTTATATTTTATAAAGAAAAAACTATTTAATTTGGACTACGTTATATCAGTAAAAAAAGTTTCATTTGTTACATCAAACTTGGTGTAAGTAATATTCACACACACTCTATACAACAATTTTTTTTTGGTCAGTGCTTTGCAAAACATAATAAAACAATTATTGCAATAATTTAAAGCTTGTTGCAAAGAGAATCTTATCAAAATCGTTTTGGTAAAATATTAAAGATGGTGTGATTATTTCGATAACACACATATTTGTTAAACGATAATTAGGATATTTAAAATTTAGCAGAAATACTCTTGTGTATTTTACACGTCAATAGTGAATAGGTTATAACACATAAATTCATTGAAATAAATAAATAAATAATAATTAATAGTAAATAATACTTACCATAATCGCCTCGTCCCATTTGTCCACGCATACCTGCACCTGTGCCTCTAGGACCTTGTCCAGGACCCCGAACTGGCATCGGGCCTCCCATCATTCCAGGGTGGGAAGGAGACCCTCTATAATATAATTAATAAAGAATATATTAATATTATATTTCTCTTTCAGCAAACATATTAAATTAATACCCCTTACTGAAATCAAATAAATATTAGAGTATAATTGAAAAGTAATAAGTATTGTTATATCTTACCCGCCACGACTTTGCAATGATTGCATCATTCTTCGTTCCCTTGCTCTAAGAATTTCTTCTTTCTTCTTTTTATCAGATGGAGGCTTAGCTAGTGAAATTTCTATATGCGAACCACCAATTTCTATACCATTTAACTCGTTCATTGCCTAGAATACGACGCCATTATTTATCATTCTGATCTAACTCGTACGTCAATAATCAAATTAATAGAAAAATCAATTAATATTACCTTTACAGCATTATCCCTGTCTTCAAAATGCACAAAAGCGTAGTCCTTAATTTTTTTAACTCTTTCAATTTTTCCATATTGTTCGAAACATTCTTTTAATTTTTCTTCAGAACAATCTTGCGTTAAATTTTTAACATATAACACTCGTACCTATAAAGATAATTATAAAAATATATATATACACACACACATTGTATTTTCCATTTATAAGATTATTTAAATTAATGAAAATATATCTTACGTTAAAATATTCTACATACTTTGGACATTGTTAATTCATCAGGCTCTTCCTGTGGATCAGCCCAATCAACTATGATATCACAGCCCCAGACCTTGATGCGACCAGTGCTTAGTCTTCGTTTTGCTAATGAGGCTGCTTTATGAGATTCATATTCTAGAAAGCAGAAACCTCTGTTCTTCTTTTTATCATCTGGTGAACTGTAGATAATCACCTCAGTCAGGCCCGCTGTATGGTGAAAAATCATACAAAACGTATATAAGGTTCATATAAAAAAATAAAAGATAAAAAAAATAAATAAATAAATAAAAAAAATAAAAGGAAAAGAAAACGAAATATAAATATAAATATAAATAAATAAAACTACTCAAACGAAACTGTACCAAAATACAAAGGAATAGGCCGAAAATATTATGATATTACTTTCTTTTAAACGTAACAAAAGATATAATAAAAAAGCAACATAATATTATATATTAAAATTACATTAAACGTCATTACTATCTTTTAATTTTTTTTTTATTTTTTTGAGAGAAAAAAGAAAATAATTTTTATAAAAGTTCAGAATTATTTGATTTGGAATCAACGTGATAGAGAACTTAATTGTTGCAATATAACAATATCGAATATCAACTGAAGAATTCAATAAATTTGAACTAAGTTATCATATTATTGTTTTGAAAAATTCTACGCTAGAAAAAGCTATATAAAACACCACACCTATAAGAAAAGTACAACTTTACATTGTATTATACTTCTCGAACTAAATTATAAGAATTATTATCACGTAATTCCTGCTACATCAATCGTTATACCATTAGATATAAATTAGAATCGATATTAACTTATACGACAACATATTTTCACAATCGTAGAAATAAATATTAATGATGGACGTGTGCGGCAAGATAAAACATTATATTTATCATTATTAATATTAATATTTAGTGGAAAAATAAAATGAAAAATTATTATATACATTTACTTTACTATATTCGAACAATATAAAACAAATTCTTCTTTCTGAATCATTAAAATCATCATTTATGAATTAAATATCCCATATTAGAGTATAGAAAACAATCTTAAGTATGTACTCAACAAAAAATGAAGATACTATTTATAGAAAAAGATTGACTGCGTATTGTGCATGAAAATGAAGACATGATTATCATTATTATTCAGTTATAATATCAAATTAATTTCCACATAATAATCTATTAACACAATATTAGTGTGACCTACAGTAACTAATTAAGTTATTGTTTTATTAGGCTTCACGTTAAAACTACTATTTATATTATTTAATTTTTCTTTTTCATTTTAAAAACAAAATAATCTCTCTGTTTCTAATTAATATTTTCAATTTTCGTAATACAAGAAAAAGAGTTTAAGATTTGTTACGAAATTGAGTTTATAGAGAGTTACTCATGCGAGAAAACTTGCCTAAAAACATGAACACGAGCAAAAGAGATAGTTAATATACTATTTCCATAACTGTATGTACCTTCAATTTGACTACTATTTCAATTATTATATTATTAACTATTTTTCATAAATAAAGCCTAAAAATATTAGAAAGTTAACTTCTTTTTTAATCATTTTACTATACTAAACTCATATTGCTTTATAACACAAACACAAAGCCATAAAAATTGTGGGTTGAAAGATAGCACACTAAACTGCAAAGATATTGTTCAATTAACTACAAAAGAAAAGATTGCAAGCTCCATATATAACCTTTCAGAATATTCTGTAGAATTTTACCACTACGTCGAAAACACCCCAAAAAATTTGTCATCAATAACTTGTGTCATATTTAATTCAATACACAAATTTCAAAAAACCCATGACTTGATAATGCAGGTTAAATATTTTCAATGTATCATTAAGTACAAAAATATCTTTTCATGCTATTAGAATTTTCATGCACCGCACTGAGATTGAATTAAATACTCAAAATGACTACCACGCTGCTGAAATTAAAGTCCTTCCCATATATAATATAATATAATATAATATAATATAATATAATATAATANTATAATATAATATAATATAATATAATATATATATATATATATATATATATCCCCACACGTTTTACACTATGTGGAAATATTATTAAACCAAAATCAACAATCTTATCTCTAAACAAACGTTGAATTAATTCTCACTATGAATATACATAGATTATAGCAGAAATTGAAATATATTTATGCTAACTTAAATAAAAGAAAAAAACGATATTTTTAGTTAAAAAAATTTAAAAGAGATATTTTCCCGACTTAATTATAACACTAGGAAATAAACTATGTATTACCAAGGTGAGAACAAAATACCAGCTATCAATGATAGTAGTTTTACTAAGTCTTCCTTTACTCGATTGAATTGTTAAATAAAAATTACGCTTGTGTAAAAGTTAAATTAATTAGTGTAACCATTTCTGCAAGATGGCTCACTTCTCCTTCCTCTCAGTTTAAAAGCTTTACTACTATTTGGATAACAAGGCACCTTTCTTAATGCAAATCAAATTTTGCTTTATGCTTAAAGCATATAATCCTTTCAAATTTTCATTTAATACCTGCGATACAAATAATTTATAAAATATAGCAAGCATCAATTATATTAAGCGTCAAGGTAAGATCAATGAAAGATAAGATTTAATATAACATTTTATAGCAATGATAAGTAATTCGCAGATGCCTTGAAACTATTATTTAATAATATTAAATATGCTTGAAAATAAACTGCTTGATAGATTCATTCCTATGCCTCTTAATAATAATGTGTTTGGCCCTTTCTTTTTATATATTACTTTTCTTTTTTATATATATATTTTTGTTTTCTTTTTTGTATTGATCTCCTCTCTGTGTCCAGATTCTGAGATTTCATGCAAGATACATACACTCGCGCATATTCACTCACATACGCACATCGATACACGCGCACACAGAATATAATCAAGAATTTAAATTATGTTACACTCATTGAGTACTCCCATTTATAAATAAAGAAATAAAATAAAATAAATTAAATTAAAATAAAATAAAAAATAAAATAAAATAAAATAAAAAATAAAAAATAAAAAATGTACACCATTCATACAAACTTCAACATGAAACCAACAACTCTGCGTTAAAAGGAAACAAATTTAATCATCCACGATATGCAATTGTGTTCCTATGCGAAATTGTTGTTAAATTATTTTGTAAACATAATGTGTTGGATATAATGTAGGATACGATGACTGTATTTTATCATTTTAACTAAATCTGTGAACAATACGGCACACTTTTTCTTGTTTTTTGTGACAAAACAAATATCACATATGTCCCAAAACCAATTAAATTCCTAAACTGTATACTTAAAAATATTCCCAGACGAGATAAAACAATATACGAACATTATTTTTAATAGGATTAATTATCTGTGTAACGTATGGGCTCCTTTTATTAAACACATACTGGATTCAGGAAATATGACTTCAATGAAATTGGACTTTTATGAAAATATTAGAAATCTTAACGTTCTCTTATTAAATTTGAACGTTGCTAATTTTTTTTTTACGACATTCATGAATGTTAGTTATGAATGATTAAAAAAAAAAAGAGAAAAGGGCAGATATGATAGACGGAAAAAAATGAAAAAGAAAAGAAAAGACAAATAAAAAAAATATCCAACCAAAAGCATAGTCATGTTTTTAGCAGCTAGTTGTAATCAATTTTTTTCGTTCGTTGCTTTGAAAAAAAAAAAGAAATTAACAATTTATTATTATTATTATTCTATGATGTATTCCTATTCATTTTTGGAATAATTTTGACAGCTTCAAAAATTTCAAGTTATCTTATTATTCCCTTGGTTGTGGGACATTTTGTATTCGAAATTTTTCTCTCTCAAATATTTCATTTTTGTTTTTTTTTTGTTCTTTTATCCATATTTTGCGATGTACATAATAAATGAATGATATTACCAATAAAGAAACTATTAATTTTATACTTGAAGAGTTCACATTTAGCTTAAAAATAAATTTAGGTAAGTGTTACGAAGATAGATTTTGTTTTTGTTTTTTTTTTATACCAGCATTACCACACTGAAAATTATATAAACCTCTTTGAAAAATCGAATAAAAATTTAGTATTAAAAATACCGATTTGTTTTTTTTTTTTTAAATTTTGTAATTATATAGTAATGCAAGAGGGCTAGACTTGACCCACCTGGCACCTCTGCTACGAACTGGATCAAGACACCCAATCATTAATATATAAATATTTGTCCCTTCATCTCTCCCACAGAACTTCATTTGGTTACTGCTTGCTGATTTAAGGACAATTGTCAACTTACGTGCGTGCTTTGTAAACTCTTCGAACAAGTCATCTCGGTCTCGATTCTTTGGAATATTTCCCACAAACAAGCGGTGATTGTTATAAGATACGGTAACACCAATCTTTTTCCCTTTCCGAATCTCATAATCATTCAGCTGTAAGAATAATGTGGAAGGAGAGTGCCAATTAAGCTTGCCTTTTATAATTTCACCTGCTTATTGGCTGTCTGAATGTGGGATTTCATGAAGCGACCTTCAGGGAGATTGTACAGAGGAGTTTCAATGACAATGTTTATAGGACTACAGGATACGGACATAAGTTAAAGTAGGATCGACATTATACAGGGTGGGTGGGAGTGCCTGTCCGTTTGTTAGCGAGTCAAACGCCCCAGCGGTCCACGCAGGTCTCCCATACCCCCATGCTTGAGGCTTAGTCATGAATCACATTTGCATATTGCGACATTGCAATAAACACAGCACAGCATAATTCTTTTTTTTGTCTTTCTAATTAATTTTTTTGTCTCTCTCTTTCTTTCTCTCTTTTTTTACCGTCGAGATTCAAAAGAAATAATTCTTAATATAATTATATAGCTTCCACATTTTCTCTTTCCATTTCCTCGCCTCTTTTTGAACCTTCCCAAAGAGAAGGCAAAGAAGCGCTAATAATACAAGTTCGATGAAGTAACCAGATGCAGAAAGTGGGAATGAGGTGGCAGAAGAAGATATGGATAGTAAGGTTCCGCATGTATAGTAGGAAGCAAATAACTCATAACTCAACCTAAATATGCGAGGAAAGAAGACTTGGACCAGAGAGGTGTTACTGTTCACTAATAAACCGAGAGGCAAGGAGACTGACCAGATCTGAAGGTGCCGCAGGTTTTGTAGATCACACAGTCGCATGATCGTTTGGATGCTCCATAGTTCCATACCATCTACAACCACTACTTAGAAGCTACCACTCTTAAGATACAATACAGGTAGACAGGTAGGTATAGGTAGGTAGGTAGGTACACACTCCTCGAATTTCACTTTACCTGTTAATTTACCAAATTCTTCCAGGATCTCCTCTTTGCCTTTTGACTTTGGTATGTTCCCCACGAAAAGTCGTAGATTAGGAACGCTAATGTTAACTTTCAGATTCTTGCCGGGTTTTATTTCGTGATTATCGAGCTGTGGGATGAAGAAAACAGACACATGCCTAATTTTGTTCCAATGATACAATTTGAGTGGTTAAGTAATTACGACAAATGGTAGAATTTGGGAAGAATTTCAAAATGTGCAATTTAGTAAAGAAATTAACATGGCGTAGATCCATGAAAGCGAGAAAGTGGCATGCGCTTTGTCGCTCGAGTCTTCACAATATAGGAAACCGGCGTTCATTGTGCTCCTGTAAACAAATTTTAAGCCTACCAATTTTTTCTTTTTTAAATTTTGTTACAAAAATTGTCATTGTCCAATGAGTTTTGACCAATTAGTAAATATACCCCTAACCAATTAGACTTAAAAAGATTATAGTTTTGTTTTGTTTTTTGTTCATTTTCATTTTCAGGAAGGTTCTCCACTCCCAATTTTGCCCACTGAGCAAAGAGGAGAGCTGGAAAAAGAAACTTATCCATAGGATATAATTAATATACATTTTTCAGTGTTATTTGTATGTTGGGATAAGTTGGAAATAATTGTATACTTAAAGATGAATAAATGGTCAGGGACATATACATAAGAAACAGATATGTGGATTGTTCCTAACAAAAAAAAGAAGTTAAAAATTTGAGATTATGTTAAATCACATGTTTGAATGTAACCACTACAAGGAAAATTAAGAGGTATGAAGAACACAGAACAAGCCACATAGGGATATGATAATAGTCGTTCGAAATGTTTAGTAATTTTAAAAAACTATGTCAAAAAAGTATATATACGTTATTAGTAATATAATATCGCGTTAACAATACCTCTTCAACAATTTTATATATTAAATACCATTGTTTTGAATATAATAAAATAAAAAGAAAGAAATAAAAAGGAAGAAAAATATATTATGTACTAAAGCATTAAAAAATTTGGTGCGATATAATGAATTATTTATCTAAAGACAAAAATATTAGAAAAGTAAATATGTATGATGCATATTTATATACACAAATGTATATATTTATACACATATATATGTATATATGTATATAAATGTATGTATGCATATAATCATATCAGAATGAAATAAAAGCAGCTAGTTTAGTTCATATACAAGAAATTTATAAACATTTCGAAAGAACACGTGATTTGGTAGCAATAACAATTTTGTAACATTTCTAAAAATGTTGTAAATAAGAAAGGAACAAAAAATCCAATATCCATAGCGGCATGGTATTGACTGGAGCAAAAAAAAAATAACCAATTTGTACACATTACGAACATGTACCTACACATTAGATAAGGATAATAAGGAAAAAATCTAAACATACCTCACGGACAGCCAATTGAGCAGCATCCCTGTTAGTGAAAGTGATAAATGCGTATCCCCTGTTGCAACCTGACATAGGATCCATCATCAGTCTCAAATCCCAAATTTTGCCACATTTTTCGAATAACGGTATTAACTCATCTTCATACATATCTTTTGGGATTTTACCACAAAACACCTTTTTCAAAAACAAAGAAATTATTTATTATATCTCGTAAATAAATTGCTGTACAATATTTAAATGTTATTACCAATGAGTTAAAATCCAAAGATATCTTATTAATAATTAAAACTCAAAATAAATAACTTACTTCACAACCAGTTCCTGGAGTCGGGCCCTCCCAATTTGGTGGCGGTCCGCCATATTTTCTTTGCCCTGTAGTTACATCCAATGGATAACCAGTTCTTTCAAGTATCATCTATAATTTAAATATAATTTTAATAAAAATTATAATTCCATTTATTTAAAGTTATGTAAACTTATTTGAATTAGAAAACCATTTAAACTTACTTTGATTTTATCCTCATCAGGTGCCTTAGATGTCGTACTCGTACCAGTACCTTGACCGGCACGACTTTTTTGCCTATAAGTTTTCATTACGCCACAGAGAAATGCTGATTTGTTGGACACATGTTCTAAATTTGATTCAAGGAATTGTGTGAGTACATTTAATGCTCCTTCAACTGGAAATTCCTTTAAAGCATCTAATGCCCTTTCATCCAAATCCACATGTGCCAGCTTTCCCGTCTTGTAAATTTCATCAAGTTTTGCAGCCACTTTTTCATCTAGTCCGTATTGGATTAGTTTTGTGTAGTCTTCTGTCCGTTCTGTATATTCCATTTCCTCCTTCGACTGCTTCTCTTCCATTTTTATTTCCCCATTTCCTTCTGCCATAGCTGTAAACGAGACAAAAATTTTATTTAATCATAAGAAAAAAACATTTTCGTACGAATATCGGCAAATAAAATACGCGAAACTAAACAATTGCAAGGAAATAACATTTATGATATAAAAGCATATGATCAAAATATAAGCAAAATATTATTTAGAAAGATATGAATTTTTTAAATTGTTAACAATAAAAGCAACACCTCAATCGATAAACTTTCAATAAAGTAATTTAATTTATCGACAAAAGTTATTGAATTTGATAGAAAGACAAATACTATATATTGTTTAATAAATGTTTGTACAAAAAATTATTAATTTTCTGGTAAGCTAAAATGAATAATATATTATTTAAATAATATAAGATTTTTTACTATATATTAATACATTTAGAAGAAGGAATTGTTAGAATAAAATATTAAATAACAAAAATATCTACAAGCATAATTTTACAGAACAAATTAAAATCATAAAACATCATTTTTTTGCAATAATAATATAGTTAATTATTACTTGTAAATCTAAACACTATTTCATAAAATAAAAAATAAAAAAGGCTACTATCCCTTAAACTGCTCTATTTATGGTTTAAATGAAACGATGATAGATAAAAAATATTTATAAAGATATTTGCAAAGAAGAAAATTGATGATGATAATGATGATGATGATGATGATGATAAAAATAATATAATTTTAAAAATCTAAAAAAAAGAAATATAAAAATGAAAGAGAACGAAGAATAAAATATCGTAAAGAAATATAAAGAAGAAAAATCTATGAAATACCGATAAGCGAATCGATGAATTAGAGACACACACGCAAGAATTTTCCCGCGCTAACGCAGAGATCGTTAGAAAAGGTTTAAAAGCGCGAGAATACTCCGATATAACAAATTTGTTAAATGAATAACAATTCGATTTGATTAACCACATTTTTTTCCATCGTATTAAACGACTAAACAATATCGAGTAATCTTTATAAAAGTTTGCGAATTTTTAACGGCGAATTAAATAACAAAAAAAAAAAAAGAAAGATAGAAGAAGAAGAATAAGAAAAAGTTAATTAGAAAAATCTGATAAATCGAAAGAAAAAAATGTAAACGAATGTATTTAAATCAATAGATTTTAGTAAACCGTCGCGATCACTCGTATAACAAAATTATATTAAACGCAAAACGAAAGGATTAGAAGAATTTGTCTTCGGACATTCGCCGGCCGGCAATGGAACTGCATCCACACGTTCGTTGCGATGAATGCGATGCACTTTTGCACACCCGATAACACTTACTTCCTTCTTCGTCTTTGGACACACGCATTTAGTATTAATTTCAATTGCACTTGAATAATAATATCTTAGGATATTAAATATATAACGATTAGATTAAAATCGTCGTCGTTTTATCCTTGTAGAATAAATCCTTGACGATTTACCTTAGAAAATAAACGAATGCTTTCCCCCTGTGCGAGGAAATGGCGACAGACGTCAACGTGATTGCGAACTACGGGGTTCACAAAACGACGCGCAAAGATACGCTCGAACCCAGCGACACGAGGTTGGCCATTTTCTTTCGGGCGCACTCGTAAATTCTGATTGGCCCGTGCGAAACCGTGAGAAGAGAAAAAGTTCAGACGGTACGCTCGCGAAATAACGAACCATGGGTGACGGGTAGTTTAAGAAGACGTTGCTGATCGTTTTCAAAGCCGCTGTGAATCGTTTATGTATATATATATATATACATAATGTACATATGTACATATATATAAAAGGATTTCTCTTCTTCTTTCCTTTCCTTTCCTTTTATTATTTCGTGCAAAATTTTAATACGATACGTTTGTAATACTATATATACAAATATATATACATGTAGGTATGCATATACATTTTTTTATACCACACAAAGACGTGATATTATTAAAATCAATGACGAATTAATTTTTTTTTTATACATTTTAATACGTACAACTTGTTAAAAATTTTAGTTCGTTAATAATAAATCGTTCATTTTTTCAGATAACATTAAATCATCTACATAAATGCAGAAAATTATTAATATTATTATTATCATTATTCCTTCTATCAACGACTTAAGATTAAAACATACGAACGTCGAAACAATCTTTTCCCTCGTTATCTTCTTGCAAAATACATTAACCTCTTTTTTGTAAATAAAAAATAGATAAAAATATATCTCGCCTGTTATTTTTATTTAACAATAACAACAGTAATAATAATAATAATAATGATAATAATAATAGAAACAAAAAATCAAAAATCGACTGCAAAAAAATAGCAAATTGGTGTAGCAAAATTATAGACGAGTATGCAAAAATATGCTAGTATTTCTGTTTCTGCTTAATTAAAGAAAAAAAAGAAATAGAATGAAGGTGTATAGAACAAAATTATAATAATTTAATTTGGAAGGATAAAACAAAGATCGAATATACGGGACAAAGGTATTTAAAAAAAAATTGCGAATTTTTAAAATTTCTTTTGTTTTAAATGACGAAATCTACTAACATATTTTGTAAATGTCGCGCCAATCCGCGCGAGAAAATTGTTTCTAGAAAGATGATTTCTATACAAACAAATAACAAATTATTGCATTGCAAAATTGTAAAAAGCGGATAGATGGTCATATTATCGATAAATAATGATGATTGTGAAGTGAGAGTATTAAAAAAGAAGAAAAAAACGTCTGTTTCTCCCTTCGTGAAAAACGATAATTACGAGATAGGAATTTGCCACGGTCTCAAGTCTTTCTTTCTCTCTCTTTTTGCTGGGTACGAGAGTCGCGAACGCGGGCGAACAGAGATAAAAAAAAAAAAAAGAAAGACAGAAAGAAAGAAAGAGACAGCATCACACAAGGCGAGGATCGAACGATGCACTCCAGCAGAGCACACTATATAACCTCACAGAGAGACCAAAGCGCCACATATAGACAGAAAAAAAAGCGAATACGAAACCAAAGAGAGAGAGAGAGACAGAGGAGATATCTGGCAATTGCACTCTCTGTACATTTGAAGCTACCGATAGTAGAGAAGTATAAATAATGATATTCAAAAAGAAGAAGAATAAGAATAAGAAAAAAGGTAAAGAAATATATAAAACAAAAATCATAGAATAAAAAAATGATGTGTACCTGTTGACTGATTGGAACTCTTCACAATAACTAAATTTAGTTTAAATGCGTTAAGCGAAGCACCAAATTAGATAGAAACAGACAAACACAAAAACAGTCACGATCTTTTGCGAGGTATGAAATTCATAATTATCAAACACCACAATCGCGACGCGTTTTATAATAACGAAAAATATAAAATATATATATATATATATATATATATATATATATAATATATATGTATCGTCTTAACCACACTTGGACTCCTTTGTTTCACCGCGCGACGAACGAACGTGCGTGTAGTAACCGACAAAACACAAAGTGGATGTGGTATGGTACCCAAATGTGAACGTTGGTTAAAGCGAATTTAGTTCTTGTAGGCACTTGCGAAATTCAGATAATATTGTTGTAACGGAGATGGTAAATGGAGTTGTAAAGGCCCGGGCGCAGAGAGTTTTGATATCGTGTAGTGCCTACATAGCCGTAATGCATAAATTGGACTGCCTCGCCGATGGAGCGATGCAGTGGTGCAAGCCCCACAAAACCAAACCAGTTTGCTTGCTTGCTTGCTCGCTCGCTTGCTTGCGAGTTGCGCCCCAATCCAATCCGATTCAACCTCTTACCTCTCTCTTCGCGGCACAGACGAGCCCCGCCTTAGAGCCCAGGGCTGTCCCTACCATTCAAAGATCCCCTGCATATTAAATATCGATCCCTGCTCCGACTACCACGTTTCCAACATTTTCTCTTTATATTTCTTTTCTATTTTATATACTTATAATAAATATTTGCCAAGCGTATATCGTTAACGTTTACAACGCTTCTTGAAAAACAAAGAAAGAAAGATAAAAAAGTGATATGAAATATTTACAATATGTTTATTTCTAACCTCACTTAATTTTATTTCTATTTTAATTCGTTTATATTATAATGTATCTATCTAAATGGGCAATTTTATACGTAGGAGGAAGAATATAATCTTATACGATCGAGAGAAGAGAATTTTCTTTAGAAATTCATTTAAGATCTTCGTTTCGTATTTAAATAAATATATACGTATATAGACAGAACGAGCGAAAAAAACATTTACAAATTGGACAAAACGATCAGGACGGACAAGTAAACAGATATTCTTTTAACATCGTAGACAGATACTTTGGTTTGCATTTCGTAATGTATTCCTCGAGACGATTTGCTTCGTCGATAAATACATCGGTTGAGCGCGTTGACCCTTTTTAGCGCGAATCGCGAAAGATCGTGCTTATATGCAATGATGTATGTATGGACGTATTTCCACGCATGATAGAAAAAAAAGAACCAGTAAAAAGAAGAAAAAAATAAGAAAAAAAATAAGCTATAAAATTCTCTTGCGCGTCTCTTGTTATCTCGCAGAGATAGAAAAATCTACATATACATATGCATATTCATCGATACAACAAAAATGACCTGCCGAGGGATAATTTAATATTTGTTGTAAAAGAAGAAAAAGAAAAATAAAAAAAAAAAGAGAGGAAGAAATAAAAAACTAATACGTCTGGATGATTCTTCGTTCGTGTCGTATTTTAAAAAAATATTGTATTATACGAAACGAAATGAAGAAATGTTCTTTGTGATTACCTTTGCCCGTAAATTAACGTTGTAGTTTGATATGACTTTGTACATGTACGTGTATAAGTATTAGGGAACAAGCGCGTTAACCTAATACAACGCGCATACTGCTGCCTCTTGAAAAATGCGGCAGGTGAAAATAAGACAATGAGGTAAGCTCCCCCGCGGGGTTCAAGGAACGAACACGAAGAATTGCATACTTTTATTTAAAAAAGGGCAGAATTTTCAATACTTTGTAGAAAAGTGCAGCCGGAACAAGGTCAAAGGAGACACACGTAAAATCTTGCGAACGGTTTTCTCTTCTCCTAGGCTACGTTAAGGTGCGTTTGGACTCGTTCGACGAGCGTGCAGAATATCGGAGAGGAGGCATGCATCGTTGGCCCAGGCCCGTACCCGGGACCTTTAAGCGGAAGAGGTTACGCGCGCGTCTAGTGCCGAGGGGCTTCGCGGTTTTAACAGAAAACGACGTTCATTTTGTCTATATAATTATTCATAATATTTAACACGAATAGCAATTTTATATGTTTTATTTGTAGATTTATATATATATATAGTATATAATAATTATCAACTTATAATTCGAAAACAGGTAAATGTATAATTTTATTTCATTATTAGTATGCATAAATTCAAAAACTGTCCTCTTGCAATTTTATCTCTGTAGTATATGTGTATATCTATAATTTTTTTTTTTCGAATTGGTATATCATTTAAAAATATGTCGATAAATAGAAAGAAAGAAAATGATATGCTTATCTGTTATCGAATTATAAGTTGATAATTATATAATACATACACGTATATATGTGGTGTACTTGTACGTCGAGAGATAAAAAATACAAAAATGATATTCGCATTGGTATTATTTTTGCTAATGTATCCCAGAAAATGAATTTATAGTTAAAGTAAGCAGCTATTACGCAATATAAGATTGCACACGTGTACACATATGTATATGCAATGACTAATATTTAAATCCGCAGCAATCTATATATATATATATGTATTTTTATTTCTATTGAAAACCATTTATTTGTTCTAATCGTTTGAAAAAGAAAAAAAGGAAAATAATATGAAATATTTGTAATTTAAGCTAATTTAATTCTTGACGAAACAGCTTGAAATGACAGCATTTTTTATCGCGAATAATAATGAATATAACTCTACGCGTTTGCTAAATTATTATTATTATTTTGTTATTCGTAATTCTATGATCTCTCAAATCGTTGTACGATATTTATGGAAAAATTTGAGTAAATAAATGAAAAGTTAAAACATTGATTAACTCGAACATTAACTTTCGCGTTAAGGTAAGAGAGATCGAT